CATTTTGTAAGACATAATTAATTCATCAAAGTGCCTGAAGCCCTTCCTCTGGGGAAAATACACATCTTATATATCTCACATAATATTAGAGATTGGTTCCCACTTTTGTAATAAATTATTTTCTATCCAAATGCTGGACAAAAAGCATCCAGTCTCTGAGGCTGTTTTCAGGTGGCTTTTAGCCACCAAAGCTCCTGGTGTTTCTTTAGAGCATTTTCATTTTCTGAAGAGCATAAATGATGTCACTTATCGATTGCCAAACCTATTTCATAATTTCAATAACCTCCAGGGAACTGATTAAATCTGACATACTTTGGCCTATTTTAAAGGAAGTCTAATTGTGTTTTTAAGTCAGCCTTGGAACACATGATTCTTTATTAACCTAATAAGCCTCCATTATCCCATTCCCAAAGTTCTATTCAAGCCCTGTATTTAGTGTAAAGTACCGTGCACTGGTTAATTAGAGCATATTATCTTGGATGAAAATGCTGAATCTTATTCTGCAGAGTCAGGGCTTGGAGAATTTGTTAATACTCTGCGTGTACCCAGCTTGGTTCTTATCTGAGCCCTGGCATGTGTTAGCAGGGCAATTACCTACTTGCAATAGCTGCCTGCTACTTGGCAGAGGGGAGTGCTGAACAGAGAGTTATTTCACCAAAGATAGGAAAGTGACTCATTTTGATTACTCAGTCATGTCCTCTCCTCCTTGTGCGTGCACAATGGGAAAGTCTGATGGAACCAGGGGCAAGAGGAGCAGCATGTGTTGCAGTCACTTCTCTTATTCACCACATCGCTGTAGCAAAATAAAAAGCCAATAATTATAATATAACAAGGCTGAGTAATAAAACGTTTCCCCTTCCCACATTTAGAAGGCGAATCTGAATTTAAAGGGAAATGACAAATTAAAGACGTCAAGGAGCAAAGGATGGCGATAACTCAATTTCATTTTTTGTTTACCACAATTTCCAGTTTGCTCTGTCTTTGTGTTCGTGTTGCAAAAAGAAGAAGTGTTCTCATCCAAACAGCACCCTGCTTCAAATTAGTGTAGTACATTTTACATGAAAAGTGCATTTACAAAATTCACTCTTCCTAATCTGGTCTGAGAAGATTGAGTAGACTGTATGTAACATTTCTAAATGTATGTAACATTCCAGGTAACATTTCTAAAGCCTCCTCCTGACTTGGTGACCCCATTCCCATATTTAAGTGATCCAGGCCTGTGGAAGTCTCCCGAGACTCACAGACTCTCAAAATCATCTCTTACAGACATATTCCATAATTTTAAAAGTTTTTTCATGAAACAGCTCACCAACTATGCCCATTTTCCCACTGAAAAAAAAAATATTATTAAATTAAAAAATTTGCAGCACTAAAAACTATAAACTGCTAAAAAGCCAGGATAAACCATGTGCCCCTACAATAATCTATTCAGGTTGATGGTCTGTTCAATAACACATTGTTATGCATTTTCCATGCTAATTAATTTAGTAATGGTCCCAAAATCTAATGCAACCTTGTTTCAAGAATTGGAAAACTTTTCATGAAGGGTTTCATGACACCTCTGTAAGGTTTAGCCTAACAGTGTCATTTGAAACATATGCAGATTTGTGATTGTACATCTGAAAATGGCACATTAGTGTAGCAGCATCATTTAAAACACATCATACAGTAGATAATTTTAATCTGTAGGACAGAATGATAAATCTTTTTTCCCTTCCTGATTTTTATTATAAAATCATCCTTTTTATCTCTTGTGATATCAGCAGAAGGACGTCCAGTAAAACAACAACAGTTTCAAAGCCATAAAGTAAAAACTTTCAAATGGTTTTCTAGAACTTTTGGAAATTAAGCACTTAAAAAAAAATAAAAACAAAAAAACTCAACAACAACAACAAACCAACAAACACATCAACACTGAATTACTGGGAAAGCCCTCTCAGATAGGTACCCCACTGCTGACAGGCACTTCTTGACCTTTCACCAACACTCTGTGGCTCTCCTAAAACCTTCTCCAGTGACCTTCATGCCTCTCACTGCTGAGACTGCTCTTTTCACTGAATCCCAACCTCTGATCATTGTTTCAATGAGATTTTAAATTTACATGGCTTCAAATATCCTTTTAATACCCTTCCTTTATCTAAGCACCAGTTCTCAGTGGAAAACTGCAATGGTTGTCTGCCAATGAGAACATTAGGACATGATTTCAATAAAAACGATGTATAAAATGTTGCCCAAATGGATATGTTTGAAACTTTTAGAATGCAATAGCTTCAATAATTCTATTTTTTTTGTTCCACAAAAATTATTTCCCCATTTTTCAGCCATCTCTAATTTTAACAATAACTTGCAGGTGTTTCCTGTTAAGTTGGTAATAACTGTGTCCTGGGATAATAAAACTCTTTGGGTTTGGCCCGTTTATCATATTTAAATTATAACTTAAAGGTGCATCCTGTTTACAAGGTAATAATTATATATGGGACTAAACAAACTCTTCTGGAGCCAGTCCAATCTATTGTGTTATGTTGGGATTGAAGAAACCTTGGATAATGCCATAGGTAGTAAAAGTTGACTCTCCTCTCTTAGAAAAACTTGGGGAAAAGATAAGGAAAAACGGTTGGTGTGTTGCCTAAATTAGGAAATCAACTTTAAAAAAATAAAGATCCTCCAAAACGAGCAATCACATAATCTTAAATCTTAGCTGATGGCCAGACAGTGAGAACGCACCCATGTGAATTCCTCAGGGTGGACTCCAGCACAAGACATAAATGCACAGCCCTGCACCCCCTGCTCTGTCCCCCATGTCCCTCCAGGGGTCTCCTGGCTGTGTTCCCCGGGCTCTGAGGCAGCACTGCCCCATTCCAAGGCCACTGGCCACAGTCTCCCATGTCCCTCCTTGCTCTGTGCCACGGCTTGGATTTTAAATCATGCCACTTTTTGTCAGGAGAGAAGACCCAGCGGGTTCAAAAAACCCCAAAACCCCGGGGAAGGAGGTCAGTTCTTGAACTCACAAGTCCTCTGTTGGACAGCTGCCTTACAGTGAGATTTGGGGTCTCATGCAGAGCCCTCCACCTTGCCCAAATCCCTTGCACCGATGATCCCAAATTTCCAGCCCCTGCCCCAGTGCCAGCCTGGTGCTCTCCACCTCCGTGGTTTAACAGCCTGCAGAACCTCTTGCAGTGGGACAACAGTCACTCCTTTGTTGAGGTCAGGACTTAGGGGGCTGTGCAAGGAATTTGGGTTGTCCTGTGTGCAGAGGAAAGCAGCAACTGCAGTGTGAAGCACAGAGAGATACCAGCACTCAAAAAAGCCACTCGAAAAGTAAACTCCAGAAGCCATCAGTGCCTTCGCTCACATTGTAGCTTGGCTCCAGTGTTTCACTGTTATTTCTTAACAGCAAAATAAGCCCCAAACATTTTTCCTTTTTTTTTCCTTTCTTTTCCTTTTCTTTTTTTTTTTTTTTTTTTTTTTTTTTTTTTTTTTTTTTTTTTTTTTTTTTTTTGCTACATACTGCACAGTATGAGTAATTCAAGGAGAGAATAAAGGCTGGCATTGTATAGCACACTTTCTCATGCGCACACAAACCTCCTTCCAGCTTACTGAAGGAATCAAAGGGTGGAGGGAGTGTCTCCAGCATTTCATGTAAATGACGTCTTTTTTTTTCTCCAGTTTTAATGCCACCATAAACTCAGTGTGATGAAGCATTGATGAATAATGAGCCCATGACACATCGTACTTTTAGAACAGCTCATATATTTGGCACATGCCAAATGCCCCATTTGTGTCTTTTCTTTCCTTTCCCCCCCCGTCCCAGCCCCCCAGCTTGAGCACAGGTTCACAAACACCTTTGCCACGAGGAAGAAATGCAGGTTTATTTGCATCCCCCTCTTTAGGGCACTGTGAGGCCATCCAAGCAGGCATCACACCCTCACCAAAGCCACTTTCTGGACAGGCCAGTGGTCACCCTGAACTGGGAGCCTCCAGCAGGCTGGATGCTTTTGTTCCTCCCTCATGTCCCACCAGGCATGGCACTGTCACCTGCCCTGAAGCAGTGTCACAATGGCCTGGAGTACAGCAATCAGGACATCCTTATGAAAAAATGCAGCTTCTTATTCAGCAAATGACTTGGAGAGAGTTGGGGTGAACTTGAATTTTATTGAGAATATGCTTTTTCTGTATTGTCCTGGATTTCTTGGTAACAATTGGATTCCTGGATTTAAAACCACCTAGGAACGAACTCGATAAGTCCTAAGCCACCAAGAGTGACCCAGCTGTCAGAGAGGACAGAGGACTGTCATATGGGAAATGAAAAACCTTGGTTGGTGGTGAATCTCCGGTGGCACGAGTGTTTCCCTGCAATGTGCCAGTCCTAACCCTGCAGCAAGGTCCGTTCTTTTGCCAGCTCTCCCTTACAAAGGGGAAGATGCTCTCCTGGTACAGACACACAGCCCTACCTTCTGATCCTGCCTCCTGAAGACTTGTGTTCTGCTGAAAATGTGGATTTCACCAGGTGGGGACACCCAGAATGGGGAGGCAGAAGAGAATTTAACAGTGCTGGAGGCACAGCATGGGAGATGTTTTCACAGGACAAAATCAGCAGTTTTCAAATTTGGCCAAAAAGCCCATCATGATAGCTGGAAAGGTCTGCTTTCTTAATCATCACTGTGAGAGTACCAGCAGCATAAAGTTTTGTCCTATAAAAATCCTCTCTAATGTCTAGACCAATGTACAAAGAGTTTTCATTTCTCATTTGCCTTTATCACTTTGCCTATGTTGAGATATGGGACAATATTTTATTTTAGGCTTATTTTTTTCCCCAATAAATTTTTTCTAGGTTTTCAAATATATAAAAGGACTCATGTCTACTCTCCTGAAAGGTGTATAATTTCTTTAATTGAGGCTTTCAAAGCAACATAAGGGAACAGGGCATAAGGAGACCACTTGAATCTTCATTGCTTTGAAAAAACATGTAAACATAACAGTTTTAAACCAACCACTTTATTCCCATTGTTGCCAAAAATCTTATAATGCTTTCCACATGGCTGTTTAAGCTGTAAGAGGTGACATCAGGGACCCATGCTGCCATGGAGAACATAAGGAAACTTGGGTATTGCTGACAAACCATGGGCAGTTCCTTCATTTCCAAAGTTATCAGGACCACACATGGCACAAGCACAAATTAATGCCATTTCTCAGCTTGATTATGCTCATTTCCCTGGGTGACAATCTCTCCTGGATGAGATAAGCCCAATGCTCCTGCTGGGAGCTGCTCCTGTCACTCAATTCAGCAAACAAGGTCAATCAAACCACTTTATCTCCCTCCTCCCACCACCAAAAAAAAAAAAAGGAAAAAAAAAAGAAAAAAAGAAAAAATAAAGCAATTTTCTCCATTTTGTAACAAAGCTCCAGAAGTTGCATGATTTTTGTCATCAGAACTGTTTCTTTTTTCCCCCTCTTCTACAGGCAGGCTGCAGGGAGGATTTGAAATAAGGAACTAAATGAGTTTCTTGAAATTGGCTTTTCGTAGCAGAGTTACGGGAACCACATTGATTGAAACTAAGTCCTTGGGGAATTAATTTCTTCTGGCAAAAAAAACAGTTCCTGAAACTTTTATCAGTCTTTTCACACCAATAATTTATATTTTAGAGCTTATTTTAAGATGAATTTGTTTCTGAGGCTAATTATTTGCTTCTAGAAACAGATAAAGCTAAAAGCATGCTGATAATCTGCTTCTAATCTCTCTGTACCAACCTCCTTTAGCCCCATACAAATCTTCTGGTCAATGATAAATTTGGCAGCTCTGTTTTCAGCATTGGCTCAAACTCAGCTGATCTGAAAGCTCTTTTTAAACAAAAACAAAAACAGCTCCTCCTTTACGAAATACACGGCCACTGTTCACTCCAAGTTGCAACTGGTTAGGCAGAAAAAGGGTTAAATCCTAGTTTTCCAAGGCTGCATTGAGTGCTCCTATAATATTTTGCCTCCTTGACTTTAAGTCAGCCACATGCCCGCTGCTGAAACGACAATGCAGTCAGTGTCTGGATCTCTGACAAAGATCAGGCTTTCATCCCTGTTATTTGTGTTACTCCTCAGCGTTTTTTAATGGTTTTTAGCAGAGAAAAATAACAGTCATGGCTTGGAAGTGCTTCAGAATGACCCAGCACTTACCATCGTGCAGCCCTTTCAGGGATGCTTTGGGACCCAGGTTCTGGCTGCTGCTCCACGGGGATCTATGTCTTTTCAGGCAGGTTTCCAGTGACTGGCACAGGAAATATAATAATCTGTAATAATGAGGAGCAAAATTCTACATTCACCCCAGAGACTGGGGCTTGATACTTTCAGAGAAGCTGCAGTCAAGTGGAAGAAACATTCATTTGATCACATCAGCCTGATCATGTGAGATTTCAGCTCAGCAGGACAGGACAGGACAGTCACACCATTCCATGCCACCTGCCAAAGGAGTTGTCCTTATTCATCAGGGATGCTAAGCTTTGCCTGGATCCAAATCCACACCACGACAGTTACTTCTCCACTTTTTTTCTTAAAATGTCTTTCTCCAAGAGGCTCCTTCAAGAGCTGTCTTCAAGTCTTAGAGAGCATGCAGAGAAGTTTTTGTCTCCTGTGCTCCACCCCTGCATCACTCCACATCCTAAACACTTTAAAATAAGGGGGACCTTGAACTCCTTGCTTACATGGGGTTTGGTACCATTGCACATCAAAGTAACAGTTTTTCCATCTTTGAGTATCCTTTTCCTTTGCCTTCAGCCATCATTCCCTGCTAAACAACATCTTGGATGTTTCTTTCCTTAGAAAAGTGTCTGCTAAAAGTCACTCTTTGCCCACAGCTACCTGACATCACACACAGCATCACACAAAAGCCTACTTTTCCTCATATTGCCAGTTTGGCAAGGAAACACGTTGGATGATCCTTCTGTAGGGGTGACAGAAGTGGCCTCAGAACTTACCGTAGGCCTGTGGTTTATGATGCAAACTTCACATTTTCCCAGAAGATAAAGGAATTTGCACACATGGTGAACTTGCCGTTGTCATTTGTGTAAAGATTTGAAGATGAATTAGCAACTGTCTGATCCAAAGTCCACTGAAGCCAGTAAAGGCCATAAAGAATCAAAGACAATAAAGATACAAAAGAGTACTGATAGCCAAGATATTATTTTCCTTTTTTTTTTTTTCTTAATAAAAAACAGTTCAATCAGCTCTTTCATTTATGCTCTGCAGCATGCAAATAAACATATCATGGCACATTTTTCTTCCTTGGCAAAAACAGCTTAACAGAATAACTTCAAATCATCAGCATCAATCAATCCATTCACTTCATAGCCGAGTTATGTACGGAATTAATTTTGTACTCAAAGACAGACTAATCTGAGACTGCAAAACTGTACCTGTTACTAAATCACAGGTGCAGAGGGAGGGACTGGACTTCTGATGGGCAAAATAAGAATTAGCTGCTCCCAAATGTCCAGTGTACCATGAATTTACTTGGATTTAACGTATTTCCTCTGCCCCTACATGAGCCACACTCTGGCCACAACCCAGACAGGATCACCAGGCAGCCACCAGCAGGCAAGAGCAAGGGGTATTTGCCCAATAGGAGGTACAGCAGTCCCCCCTCCTGCTTCCTCCAGCTCTCAATCCAGTTTTCTGTCCAGAAACCTTGCTCAGCTGAAAAAGAAATCAATTTTAGTCATTTGCCTGGGGTAAGATTGCAAGTCTTCTAGCCAAGCCAGGGCTCCTGCTGCAGAGCAGCCCCCAGGGGAATGCAGCCATGCGTTTGCAGATTACTGGTGCAGGACATGCACAGGGGAAAGACACACATGCTTACAGCCCTCCAGGAAATCCCAGGGAGAGAGATGGGAGTCCTGCCCTCAACCCTGTCCAAAGGGTTTAGCACTCCTCCAGAGCCTGACAAATAGATGGCCTTTGTCTGATGCCCCCGAGGGCAAATGCAAGCTAATAAAAACTGGAGTCCACACAGATAACATATAATTGTAACTGGGTTTTAGGCAATGGTCTTCCAGGCTATCTCATTATTCTCTTTGAACAGGCTTTGAATTACGCTTTTGCAATTTTAGATAAAAGTGAACCAGTGGTTTTTCAGCATTAGCAAACTGAGTTAGATTGAACAGTTAGAATTAATGGGTACTTTGATTTCATCTTTTCTCTTTAACCTTGAAACCAGCAGTCAGGCAGCAAAATCATTTTCCCCTGCTCATGTTTTCTTCCTTCAGTCATCTTTCTCTATTCTGCCCTCTCAGGCACTTGCTTCTGGTTTGTTTGACTTTGGCCAGGCTGCATTTCCAATTCAGGGGTGCTCTCTGGAACACCAGTGCCAACATCACAACATTTTCACATTCTCAGTATTGAACTGTGACTATTTGTAACCAGGACAAAGTAAAAATCTTTCTGTTAGTGGTGACCCAACCAGTTCTTCTGGCTGTGCTTTTTTTTTTTTTCCTCTCTCTTACTGAGTCCATTGTAATGGCCATTAGTGTTGTGGAGTGTCAATGAATCATAAAAAACTCCACTTACCTTTTGTTCCAGTGGCTTATACAGAGCAGAAGAAATCTCTGAGGAGCTCTCCCACATGTCCTCCTTTAGCCTCAAGCAGACATGGTCCCCCCAAACAAGCCCAAATCACCTATTCCCAGCCATGAGCCTCTGACAGCCCTGAAATGAAATAATTCTTAGTCTTACACATAAAACTAACAAACACACAAGTCCTTAGTTGATGTGGCTGTTCAAGGCACCCCTAGGTAATACAACCAGACTCATCCAGCAGCAGCAGGATTCCTAAATTTCCACTGTAAAGGCCTCAGGTCTCCTGGTGGAGGGGGAGAACACACATATCCCCACCAGACCTGCTGTGGAGGCCTAATACAGACAACTGGAATGTGCTTGCAGTCTGATGCCAACAACACTGCAAATAAAACATGCAATAAATAAATTATCTGAGTAGAGTGCAGCAGCTAGATGTGCCTTTTCATTTTTTCATTTATTCCACAGTTCCCACAGGCTTCCCTCCCAGACTTCCCTCTGCTTTGGACCAAAGAGGCCACACAAGTGATAACAGTGGCAGAAGTTACCACAAGAGAATCACATCCCACAATCCCTCCTCTTTTCATTTTTTCTCCACAATATTTATTTGGGGGAAAAAAAAGTGTTTTCACAGGATTTACAATCCACAAAGCCATAAAGACTTGTAGTAGAAAAAAAGAAATCTCAGGTGCTACTTAAGAAATTCCTCATTTCTAAACCTCAGTGGATTAAAGTTTCTGCCCTAATGACCCATGTGAGTGCTTTTGTGTAAAACTTTGAATAACTTTATTGATTACATTCTGTATAGCACAAGTCTCTGGACTCTTATTCTTGTTTTTCTCTTCTAAAAAGCTCCTATAAAGACATACAGTACCAGAATGGATTAGTGCATTAGCCCTTGCCTTTGCAGACTTACTTGCAATCCAGAAAGGATTTGGATGAAGGAAGTCTTACCAGGCGGGATCACACTTCTTAGTGGAAAATATTTCCATTCTGAAAAAATGGGAAACGTAACATTTAGCACAACTCAACCTGTTTGATAACTTTTTCTGTGCTGAGGCACGGGGGTGGCTACAGAAACAGCACCACCAGGCAGTACTGGGATGTCTCAACAGGGCTGTCTCAGAGCTAGGATACTTTTCATAAAGAGCTTTCTCAGAAGAAGATAAAAGAAAGCCCTTTGGTAAAGCTGAATGGGAGAGTCCAGCTGGCATAACAGAAGTTACAGGTGAAAAATGAGGTTTATTGGCAGAATGTTTGGGTCTGACTGAAAGAGCAGCACAGTGCCCACAGTTTTCTCTTTCCTCTGACAAGGTCTCCATAACCATTTTCCTCCTGGTGTTTTCCAACACAAGGCTCTTTCACACAAGAAAACAGATGACAAGGTGAATACAGGTTTTAGTTTTAAAATGACCTACAGGGCCTTCAGTCTGTTTTTAGAAAGGAAACAGGATTTCTGTCTAAAACCAGACTCTCCACCCTCTCTTTCTACCCTCCCTTGTCCTTTCCACCTGTTTAGATGTTTTCACAGTGGGATAACACATTCATTCCCTCCAGACCGGGGCTCAGCTGTTAGGAATGGAAAATAAAACCCAAGTTTGCAGAGTATTTTTAGCCCAGGGAAAATAAAGCGGTTGCAAATACCATCCACCCAGCAGCAACTCTGGCTTGTGCAGATCCCTGCCCAGAAAAAAAGGAAACCACAGGGCCAGGCTGAGCCCACTGATTTTATACCCATGCCAAGTACTCTGGAGTGACTCACCCAACAATCCCACCCTTCTTTTTCTGCCTGTGTGAAGGTGCCCTCCCCAGAGGTCACATCAGCTGGGCCTTGCCATGGCTGTGGCACTGCTGCTGTCACTGCCACAGATGCACTCAGCCCGTGGCTCTCACCCTCAGCAGGGATCATCTGTTGGTGCCTGGCTCACCAGCAGGTTGCAGATGGGTGTCCTGTTTCCCTCTGATCTCCCCAGCCTCGAGGGACCAGCCTTCCAGCACGTAAGGGGATACAACCCTAAACAGATGACACATATTTCAGATCCACCTAATGGCTGATCCTGGTTTCCAGGCTCCCCAAGTGCCATTTGTCTTTAACAAATGGCCACACCGGCTGTGGAGATGATATTTTAAAAATGTCTTTGAAAGGGCTGACTTGCCTCTAATGGCATCTGCAGCGTGTGTGCCCCTGACAGTTGTCCTCTGTGCTGTCAGGCTGCTTCTACTGCAGGTAAAAGCAAAGTATTCTGAAACAGAAACTGCAAACTGACAAGGAAATGTGTTTAGAAAAAGCATGTCCTGAATGGAAGAGGTGGTTTTGAGAACCAAAGAGAGGAGGATCTGGAACACACTATCATCTATGGCTAGGTCTGAGCATCCTTGGACTGTGAGCTGTAAATTGAGTTTATGCTGAAGCTGTAGCAAAGCAGTGATTTCTTCACTGCTACATTGACTGTGCAGCATCTTGTATGCAACAGAAACACTGGATGCTGGCAAAATTGTTCAAACATTGCTGAGAGGAAGACATAAATCCTGAAATACCCTTTATGCAATTTTTTCCAGTTTTCTATCTCTGTCTTGGGAAAAATCTGGAGATTTTGTACAACTCCCAGGGACATTCCCCTGAGCACATTTCAGACAGGCCCCTGTAAAGCAGGAAAAGGCATCCTGGCTCAGCTCTGCAGCCAGTGCCCAGGGATCCTGTTTTTAACATGAAACACAACAGGCCCAGCTCAGTTCCCACTCATCCTATTGCACCTCCCAACACAGAAGTGTTTCCATATCCATTTCCATATCTCCATGTCTGGGAGGACAAGAGCTGGCCCAAACAGAGCCATTGTCACAGCAGGGCTGACCAAGTGCCAGGGCTGGCCCTGTGGGCTGGGTGCAGGGACAGCCCGAGGTGCTCCCAGCGCCTTGGACACACTGCACACACCAAAACGCTGGAGCAGCGTGTGCACACCAGGTCTCACAAGGACCATACTTATCATGAAGGCATCACAAACAGCTCAGACATATCCTCCTGTCCAAGAAATCCTGGAAAGAAATATGGCAACTCCTTTGGGAACCATTCAACTTTGCTCCATCTCCATTTACTTAGTCATCAGCAGCACGCTGCTGTGGGCTCACTTAGTTGTGGGAGTATTCCCAACAGACCTCCTTAAAAAGCACTTTCTATTTAAGACCAAAAAACAGCTGCTGATAATGCTGCCTTAATCTGGCCATTTTGCTTCTGGCTTCTATAGATTCCACATTTTTCCTATCCAGCCAGCACAACAAGCAGTTTAGCATCCATTGCCTGGGATTTCTGGAAATGCTCGGCACTGACCTGACTGATCTCCGCCAGCACAACAAGCAGTTTAGCATCCATTGCCTGGGATTTCTGGAAAAAAAGTCACTGACCTGACTGATCTCGCTGTAACCAACACCGAGTGTGCTTTGTTTTCCTCTTCCTTTTATTCTTGAAGAGATGGAGCACCCACAAATAGCAGATCATCTGCAAAGTTAAGGCACAGTTATTCCAGTAGCTGACACACTTCTCCGTGAATGCTGGCTATTTACAGCAAATGTAATCCCGGTTTATCTTCTGCAAAATCTTTAGCACGTTATTTCTGGGAGTTCAAGTTATAACTGCTGTGATTTGTGAGTGTACAATTTAAGGAAACTGTTCTATTATTCCATCCAGTTTGGAGACTTGGAGGAAAAACATCTTCCTGAAGCATTTAGTCTTTCTACAGGGAAGTGAGTAATATATGCCTGGTATTACCTAGTAGCAAGTATTTTAACCCTCCCCAGGTCTGGCAATATTGCTGCAGGTATATAGCATAAATTCCTTGGGAATTAGGCTTTTTTTTTTCTTTATTAGATCTCAGCTGAGGCACCCCCACCACCCCAGCCAGCTTTACCCACCTTAGATTCAGGGTGTCAGTGAAGACCCATCTAGACAACTCTGTTTCAGAACTCCCAGCCTCTCCTTGGAGATCACCAGAAGAAAAAAAGATTTTAAGAACAATGAAAACATTAACAACACAATCCAGATTTTTAAATGGCAGAATTTTTGTTTACCAAAAGACATCATTCAATTTTAAGCAAGGATTCTCTTAAAGGCTGGCTTTCAGGCTTTTTCCCAATTCTAGGGACCCAGGGGGACAGTGTCCACTGAAGACTATGCCACAGCAAATTCAAGCACACAAGGCCAAAACAAGAAGTCCTGGTTTTCTCTTTTTAAGCTCCAGAGAGGCCAATAAGAAATCCAGAGACCTCAAGTGATTCTGCCAACCACAGCAGAAAATATCTACTGTGGAGTAACACTAGCAAAAGTCTGCCTACAGGTCATGGGTTTCTTCAAGAGTGACTTTTTTCCCAGATGGTCTTTTCAAGCAGTCTCATAAAACCTTTGGTACAATTTCCTGTTATTTGCAGGATGCAAGGAAAAAAAAATGGGCATTTTAGTCAAGGCACACATAGCCAAAGCCCTCTATTCAGAGTCTATCTCAACTGAAATTGTTATTAAACTGGTAGTGACAGGACCAGGCTCCAACAGACACCAAGTGCTTCTGAAAGGTCCAGTTTCCATGACAGGGAAGCTGCAGAAGCAGTAAATTTTGTTATTTCTGACAACAGGAGTATTCTGGGTGCTGGTTGGCTCTTGGGTATTGCATTTTTGGTACACAACATGAGGATCCACTTTAGAGATGAGCATAAACAACCTCCATACATCTTTTCAGCAAGATATGCACTAAAAACTTATTTACACTGCTAAAAGTCTCATCTTCCAAATGCTCTCAAAAGAAGTTGAAAGGCTCCTCAGCTGTGACTTGGATGTCAAAAATAGTATTTGGAGGAGTCTCAGTTGTTCTCTGAGGGAGAACAGATTTTTTTACTGACTCACCCTACGTAAATGATTGAATCAGAGGACTAAAAGTGGACTTCTCCTTTCTCAGAAGCTGGGCAGTGGTTGCCTTGCCTCGCACTAACAGCTTCTGAGTACCTGGTCCCACATGTGAGCAGGTGAATAATTGACAGATGGTTTTCTTTATGCAGCTAAGTAATAACTTTCAACATTATGTCAGGAGAGATTAGGAAAGGGGGGAAAAACACACTGAAGAAAGCTGGGGCTTAAACTTGTTACCCAGCATCCACCCCCCTTCCCTAGTGCCAACCACGGCCAGGGGTGCCCAAAGGTGCTCGTTAGAGAGGGTGTTTACAGGTGAGCCATTATCGGGTCCTGATATAAAATACTGCCCTGGAAAAGCACATTTAATAAGCTCCAGCTGCCTGGGAAATTAAAAGCAAAATTCCTGCAGCAAATAGTCGACCTGAAAAACAACCAGTAGTAGGGCTGAAACAAAGGAGCTGGGGTTGAAGTGCAGAGCTGTGGCTGAGTCAAGCTGCAGTTTGGAAAGGCTATCAGATGGATGTTTGCCCAGCTTTGCTTTTATGCAGAGATTTGCTCCTGCCAGCACAAGGAGCTGCTGAGACCACAGCCTGTCTTCTTTTGCCTTTGTATCCTCACTTGTGCCCAAGACTTTGCTGCCATGAGATCACCGGCTGTGTTTCTGAGCTGGCTTAGAAAAATGCAACAGCTTGCAGAGGTGCAATAATGTGTTTTATTTCAAAACAGAACTTAAAACAGAAATAGGAACACAACCAGTGAGGCCTGGCAGCCCCTCTCCCCTCCCACTCCCAAAAGCTGGTTGTCTCCTGCTTCCCTTCCCAATTTTCTGTTGGCTCAGCGGGTAAAAAATGGGGGTAATTAAACCTTTCTTCCTAAAGGCAAATGGGAACAAGACCCTGCTGGCTTCCCTCTGATGGCACAAAACCCCACCAGGGATGCAGGGCTGGTGCTGCCCTGTGACAGGCACCCATTTCCTCCATCCTCAGCATGCAGAACAGCCCCCGCCCTGTGCCAGGCCTTTTTCAATACAATAAAATATAAAACAGCAAAATAAATGCAGCCTACCTGACCTCAACAGCTCTATCTTTTCACCTCGTGGAAGGGAAATCTGGATTGAGAACCTCGAGACTGATTTCCTTGTTCATTTAAGGAGGACCCAAAGGGACAATCAGTGGCTGAAGAGGGCAGGGAGAGCCACACTGGCTTGAAGTGAATTGGTTTGGGTAGCAGGAGCAGCACAGCCCTGTACAGAATAATTCACTCCTGCTCTTTCCAGCCTAATGGAAACAGAACATGCCTTCTGTTGCATTTTATTTTCAGAAGGCCTGGCACATCTGGGACTATCATAAGCTCAGACATCATCTGTTTTATGGCAGGATGCCAGTAAGTGTTGCCCATGGATAGTAAAAATGCTTTCTTAAAATGCTTTTGCAGGGCAGGACAGGGATTTTGGCCCTTCATTTGGCCCTTCATGCCCCTTCATTTCCATTATTTTCCATGGCTGCATAATGAGGTGTGTTTAGTTTAGAGGGCCAGTGTTGTTCAGAAAGGATGCTGGTGATCCTTCTCCATCTGAGAAAAATGCTTTTTGTTATTCCCACAAAATCCAGTGGAGTAACAGACTTGCATCTTCCATCAAGGCTGATTAATGATGTTTTATTGTGGTTGTACAGCAGCAAATCATTAATGCAATTTCCATCCTATCAGCCATGAACACAGCCTTTCAGTTGTTAATGACCCTCATGACCAAATTTTACTGGATCAAAATTGTCCCTTCTGTTTATTTTTGAGTATCAGGAAAATTGGCATGGCTTACTTGTGCTTCAAAAAGCAAACAAGCAAATGCATAACTGGGTCCTAGATGCCAACAACAACACTGCATGTTTATTGTGATGGTTGGACATACAGGCAATAGATTTTGAGTGTAGTGGTGAAATGCTAAAAGCAGATTAAGTATGCAGAAAACTGGTTGAGTAGCTTTG